ACGTATGATACAATTCGAACACCCCAGTCATTTTATTACTCACCAGGTATTATCATGAGCAATAGTAGCAACCCAATAAGAAGGACAGCAGCGCCCAGCGCTGCAAATGATGTTGGATGTTTTCTCCGTTCATGATCGAGCAAGCGAGTATGTTGCACCGGCTTATGACGTTGCGTACTCGCTGACAGAGCTCCATGAATTGTTTGTCAAAAATTTCAAGAGCATACATAAACTATTCCACATTAATGAATGCCATCAACTACAGAGGGTATCGCATGCAGGTAAGCATGGTGCACGAGGAGCACAGATGAGAACGTATGCGCAGTAGAACCCGATCTCACCGGCAGCAAGGATGATGAGCGTTGCAGCGTAAACTGCTGCAAACGAAGTCGTGAAATGAGACATGGCTAATAAAGATGAACTGCTAATCGGACAGCACGTAAGCGACTGTTTCGAGAAATTCAGAATTCTGATAGAGACTTTGTTCATATGCAAAGCCGGTAGAAGGCATAGTAATATACTCGGCGTCTTCGTACGACTCATACCGAAGCGCGCGAAAATGACTAGGGAGAATCTCCAACAAGTGCCTTTTACGACAGAGATTACGGATTTGCAGTTCGAAAATGACTAGCGAGACTCTCCCTAGGGGTGCCTGTACGACACGGATGAAAATGACTAGCGAGTTTCTCCCTACGGGTGCTTGTACGACAAATAGGGGGGTCCTTGTGAAGCAGCTGCCCGCGTTTTCAAAGCACATATGGTGTTGGATTGTAAGGTGCCCAAGTACGTTTGCGAGGAAGAGAATGTGGCCAGGCTGGAGAGGAGAGTGCAGTGGCATATTGGAATGTGAGATTAACATAAGCGAGTTACAGGGCGTTTTATTGCACGGGCGAATTTACGTGCAAATCTTTCACCGTAGCATCAGTCCTCAGTTCACTTCTTGGAACGAACATCAGCATAGGTGCAAGCCCTCTCGCTTGGGGGGATATGCAAACAAACATCCTGATAGGGGTAAACTCGCACGCTACCGAGCACATGCATGCTTAGTTGAATGGTGAGATGCGACCCCCCCTTCATTTCGTGCTCGGCAAGCCTGCCACCGCCTACCGGATATGTTGGCGATGTTACAGAACGCTGCACCTTGGTTTCTGTGCGCATACCAAAACTACACGTGCCCAACTGAAGACATTCCCGGTGGTTGTGCAGCAGCTCTTGAGGCTGTTGCTGGCTGAAATCCATCCTGAGCTGTTGCAACACGGCTAACGCGGGCACGTCCCTATGCACAGCAAATAGCTGTTCCAAGCCAACAGCGGCGTCCATGTCACCGACAAGGCTCTAAACGTCTTATCTGTTCTTATGTTTAATTAAGTTTATGTATGTTATACTTTGCGCAACTTTGTAATTTGACTTTACTCTGAACAAGGTGCTGCATACAACTGCCTCTTCGCCAGCGCTTCATCTTCCGCGGCAGTTTCACGAGCCCAGAGTTGCAAGCTAC